TGATCGATAATTCGGGTGGCTCAGTTGTGTGTGATGGGAGTGTAGAGCAGCTCGGCCATGACGGGCCGTAGGGGTAGGTAAAGTCGCACAGACGTGTTGTAAAACTAAACGTGTTGTATACGTGCTGGGAAACGTGCTGTATCCGTGTTGTATTAGTCGGGGGCGTGCTTGAGCTCGTCATTCAATCACGGCATCAAGTCACGCATAACGCTCAAACACCCAAAACGAATCTCCATGAATGTCCACCAATCTACCACACTCCCAAGGAAAACATGGAGAAACTTCTTGTTCCTACGTAGTTCTTCCCGCATATATACACGCAATATACCACCCGCATGCTATGCTACGAGTGAGTATCGAATAGAAGTTTGGTACTCACGAGAGCTTTTTAGCTATATTTCGCTTTCACCCGCATAATATTTCATAAATTCTCACCCCATGGGGATTCGAACTCACGACCTCTGCGACTAGCGGATTACGAGGATACAACTAGACCACCGGGGCGCCCTGTTCTACACAGAGTGCTCTAGTTCCAACAAAGGACGGCGCGGCACGTTCAAGACTACCATCATCTCTAGTCAGTGCGGTCGCCAACTGGCAGATCTGCAGCTTGTCGTGACACGTTGGGCTGTCGGTTCCAGTATGATGTGCTGTGACTCCGTGTCCACAAATGGCAGCGATGAGGTTGCTGTTGCTGGTACTACAGTGTTCTCTTGGCGTTGCAGACTCCGATGTGTGACGGTCTCGGTTCAAACAAATGCTTCAGGGACGGTACCAAAACCTTGAACCACCTCACACGACGAACAACCATTCCAATGTAAAGAACTAGCGAGCCGTTTGACAGAATGCGTTTCCCTGCACGTGAGGAACGAAACGAAATCGAAGCCAACCACGGAAGAAGTGTATGTATGTAGGCCATCGTGTCATGGCCTGGTGAAACACCCCTGTTGTTGGTCCCATGAGGCACGAAGGGATGCGGAATAGTTAGGTGTGGCAGTCAGCCCGTCCTGGACAATTTCCTCCGTGTACAACAGCATTTTGTATTTATCAGCATTCGCAAGCCCCCTTATATAGCATTGGCTTGTATCAATGGCCCAAGTGCTTGCATCGCGTTTTTGCCGCTACAGACAGATGCTCTGCACCGTTCGGCAAGGACAGCCTGTGCCGGTCGTGTCGAAAGAATGGGGTCGATTGCGTCTTCTCCGACCGGCAGAAGACGGGGCCCAAGGCAAAAGGAGCCAAAGCATTGCCAGGCTCACTGGGAGTGAGATCCGTCACCCAGGGCAGAAGGGCGAGCACGAACGTCTAAAAACCTGCAAGGGCAGCATCGGGGAGGGAACGGTTATCGACCCTTCCAACGGTTCGGGATCTAGCATACACACTAGGCTTCCAGGGCGGTTTGCATCCTGTTGGCTGGGAAACGATGATACCCCTTCGTGTTCAATGGTTATCGAGTTTGGAAATCGAGTACCTCAAATTCTTTTCACATACATCGTCGCTCGAAATGATTGATCGTCATGATTTCAACCTTTTCCTGAACGACCCAATACTGGCAACCGTTCACTGCGACTGATCGCTTAACTTTAGACCTCTTTACCACCTATGGTTGTCGCCGTCCTCCGCGTACCTCAACGAACTTCCATACCTCAACAACAACGAACGATTTCTACTCGGTCAATTTTCGCGGCTGCGGTGGAATGAATTCACCTTGCGTTGCTTTTTCCCGGTATAAATGTATGGTTGGTAGGACCACACCTTGCGTTTTTGGCCACCCACCATGAAGTCGTGCACGGGAAGCAAATCTGCCAAAAGTTATTCACCAATCTGTTTCACTGGGCTGTGTACCTTCACTGACCAAGGCGGCCTACGGCAGGTTGGGGAAAGTGTCCTCATCCACCTCGCTCGACCCTGCTCACTTTTTTACCACTCAGTCTGGTCATGAAGCGGAGACTACTGGAGCGATATCCGTCCTCGATGCGAGCGAAGGTCTTGCATCCCGGTGGACCACGGCATACTGGTAAGGTGTGGGGGTGTTGCTCGGGATATTGATCAGACAGTTTTCAAATGTGACGAGGCGCTTCCTAGGAGTTACCATTCCTGCAGAAATCAAGAATGTATCTTCCCAATGAGCTTCACACGAACTCCTGGACAGAATAAAGTCAGGTGAGGAATACTGTCAACATCCAAGATGAAAGTTTGAATTGTGATTGACCCCCCGCATGTGTACACCTGCATCTGTTCAACGATCATGCCGCCATGATGCAACGTCCGCGTCTCACGCGGTAGACTGAATGCCCACCAGGAGACTCGCGACCGATACCAATAACTCCGATGCCGCACAGACGTCTGTCGCTGGGGCGACGGCCAACAACGGCAATCGCGAGAAGGAACTGCGGGCGGACATGCACGTCATCGGTGATAGGTTGACCGTCAGGTAGGTCTTTCACATCCGATAACATGTACTGCTGTACCAACGGGATATGACGTCTGCTCCGGAACATAGCTACGCCGTATTCGCATCATGGCGAAGGTGTGGTAAGGAGAGCACAGTCGTGGACGGATGAAAGATAAACTACGCAGGGTGCAGCAAGCCCGTGTTGGGCGTCTCTTGGGGCAGTGGGTAGTCGGCCGTGTTAGGCCGAGAGAGAGAGGTAGAGATAGAGATGGCGTTGGCGTTGGAGAAAGCGTTGAAAAAGGAAACTTGATTGGAGAGAGACGGCGGTAGCGGTGGAGAGAGTGAAAGCAGTGCGCTACATGCGCGAGCCTTCAACACTGCAACCAAGGCCAAAAGGGTCCCCGTATCTGCATCGGCGGTACCCATCAACATACGAAATTCCCAACACGTCTCCCCCAGGATCCTCACGTCTAGAGACTGCTGCGAGTATATCTGACATCCCCCCTGCTCGCAACAGTATCTTCACTGCAAATTTCGAAATAATACCGGATATATATCTCAACCAAAAGACGTCTTTTCCTGAATATATGCTATCTATCAAGGTTACTTCCAAGATATAAGAAACGAAAACCACGTCCAAGAAACATGAATACTGCTGCATCGCGCGTGATCTAAAGTTAGCGCGGAAAGAAAAACAATCAAATCGAAAGCCAAACCAAACTCATCAGAAAAATAATAAACACTCATGCCAAATTCATCACAAAATCACGATGAGACTCGAACGCATCTTTGGGCAAACTCTTCGTAAGAAAGTCTGCACGCTGGTACGGAGACGGCACGTGGATCACCGAAATCTCCTTCCTCTCTACCAATTCCCTGAGAAAATGGTGCCTTACATCAATGTGCTTCGAGTTCGAGTTCGAGATGGGGTTCTGCGCTAGTTGAATCGCCCCCTGGTTGTCCTCGAAGACGGGGATGCACGGCATGCCGACCTGCGGCAACATGAAACGCCAAATCTGCCTCAAAAACAAAATCTCCTTCACTACGTCGCCTAGCNAGCGACATACTACCCTGCTTCTGTTGTCGAAAGCGTAGCGCACTTCTGCGTTCTGGAAAACCAAGACACAACGCCTCCTCCGCATGTTACTATCCCCCCTGCTACCGACCTACGGTCTGCTGCCTTGCTCGCAAAGTCCGCATCAGCGTACCCCTGCAAGTTGGATCCTTCCTTCTACAGTACCTCTCTGAAATGAAACACCCATGTAACTCGTCCTCTTCGCATACCCTAATATACCCATCGCTGCATCCCAGTACACCTGCTTCTGAGACGCGCAATATCTAGCTACTGCCCTTACTGCATTCGCAATGTCTGGCCTAGTCTGAGCCGCCAGCCACATCGAAGGTCCTACTATCTCACGAAACGGAAAATCTGTCGCCTCTTCATCCGCATCAAAGTCAGAAAGCTTGAACCCCGAAGACATGGGAACGCTCTTACCCCCTGCTACTCCATACTCTGCTGCTAGCTCATCCGTGAAAGTCTGCTGAGAAATCGTCAACCTACCGGTCTCCTTATTCCTCTCGTAAAAGCACCCAGAATACCATCTCAACTCTCCCAGGTTCTTCACTGGCACGGACTTGTTAAGGTCAGCGCCAAACTTATCACATCTCTCCCTCTCTCCAACAGCAAANTTCTCGTAAAAACACCCAGAATATCATCTCAACTCTCCCAGGTTCTTCACCGGCACGGACTTATTAAGGTCGGCGCCAAACTTGTCACATCTCTCCCTCTCTCCCACAGCAAAA